CGGACGCAGGCAATTTTCGGAGAGGCTGCTCCCTACTTACGCAAGTCCGAGAAGGAGAGGATCGAAGCCCAGAATCGCCCCTTTGATGCTAAGGCAGCCTGTTTTGTGGTGGATAATAAGCAAATGTATGTGAAAGGCACCATACAGAGCAGAGAAGGTGGCAAGGTCACAGTTAAAACATATGATGACGCAGTAAGTGATGCCAACTTGCAATTTTCGGAGAGGCTGCTCCCTACTTACGCAAGTCCGAGAAGGAGAGGATCGAAGCCCAGAATCGCCCCTTTGATGCTAAGGCAGCCTGTTTTGTGGTGGATAATAAGCAAATGTATGTGAAAGGCACCATACAGAGCAGAGAAGGTGGCAAGGTCACAGTTAAAACATATGATGACGCAGTAAGTGATGCCAACTTTCACTCCTACGTGATCAGCCGGTTCAGACAGTTCCTTGATTTGGGTTTCTCCTCTTGTTGTTCCCTTGTGTTTTTGTCAGACTGTGACTGTAAAGGATGATGAAGTCTTCCCAATGAACCCTCCCAAATTCGACAAGATCGAGGACATGGCCATGATGACCCACCTCCACGAACCCGCTGTGCTGTACAACCTCAAAGAGCGTTACGCAGCCTGGATGATCTACGTGAGTGCCAGCAGCAGCTTCCCTTGGGCAGCTGCAGGAACTGCTCTGCCAGGCTCAGGGCAAGCCAACGTGCTGTCTCCCTTCCCCACAGACCTACTCGGGTCTCTTCTGCGTCACTGTCAACCCCTACAAGTGGCTGCCGGTGTACAACCCCGAGGTGGTGATGGCCTACCGAGGCAAGAAGCGCCAGGAGGCTCCTCCACACATCTTCTCCATCTCTGACAATGCCTATCAGTTCATGCTGACTGGTGAGTGCTTGGCAAGAGTGGAAAAACCTGAGAGACACAGGGTGGACTACTTGGCCAAGGAACACTAGATAGTTCAGGCATCTTGGGTTTTACTCTATGTCTACTCATAGTCTTCCAGCACAACTCAGGAACACTCTGCCTGTGACACCTTAATGATCTCTGGGCTGTCAGATAACGAAGGAAAAGCAGGAGGTGGTTGTATGGCTTTGTGCCCTCTCTCCTCATAAGGAATATAAAGAAATAGTAAAAAAGGAGCACAGCAAACAATCTGATTTCAAGGTCTATACATAAAACAAACAGTAGGTGGGAAGCCTTATAAATAATCACTTCCTGAAGTTAAATTTTGGGCTGTTTCATCCTTCTCTGCGCAAAACAAAATGCAGGTGCACATTAATGCAGAATTTACCTTGTCTGGTAGCAAAGTGATAAACACAGGTACAATATAGTTGGTTCCCTTGGAGTCAGTTAGCTGTGTCTGAGGACAAAACCCTCCACATCTCATCTGAACAGCTCTTTCTGTGCCTTTTTCAGATCGGCACAACCAGTCAATCCTCATCACGTGAGTATGTTTGGAGTGGCAAAGCTGAAAGAGAAGGGAAAATGTTTCCTGTTTCCTATAATAATGACTATTTTCTTTTCAACAGTGGAGAATCCGGTGCAGGGAAGACTGTGAACACCAAACGTGTCATCCAGTACTTTGCAACAATTGCAGTTACTGGTGAGAAGAAGAAAGATGCACAGCCTGGCAAAATGCAGGTATGACATTGGCTCCTCCTTCTAGTGTTGGCCCAGACTGTGCCTACAGAGCAGAAAGGCACCAATGGGTACTTTGGGGGTTTGCAAGACTACCAAAAGGCAGAAAAGTGTTGTGCAGCTGAGAAGACAGTCAGGATGCACAGCCCAAGCACACCTATGCTCCTTTACCCCTGCTATGCAGCCTCCAGCCCTCTGCACTCTACTTAGAAAACCATTTTGCCACTGTAGAAAAGGCCCAAGCCTCTGTTTCTCTCCAGTCTCCCTCTACACAGCAGAGTCTTCATCAGGGAGAGGCAAATAATGTCAGACAGCAGCTTTCTCTGTGCTGACTGTCCATGTACTATCTATCCATCAGCGTCCTAAGATCAGCCACATCCAGAGCACCTGAGTGGCTGCAGGTGTAAACACAGCAGTCACACAGTTGTGCCATTCCAGATGCTTAGTTCATTCCTATTGACAGGGAAAGTGCAGGAATTCTGCACTCCACAGTGGCTGTGCTGAAGTCAAGAGTTATCTCAATTGCATCAGGTAGTAGCTTCCACTGGCTTGTTTTCCTGCCTGTGGTCAATGGAACAGCCCTGAGGGGCAGCATCAGAAAGGGGACAGAATTGGGACAGCTGGGCCCACTTGCCTGTCAGTTAGAAAGCAATCTCAGAGAGGATCCTTGCAGGACAGAAAGCCCATGCCCTGATGTCCCTCCGCTGAGCAGCACAGCTGCCGCGATCAGAGCCCACTGGGGCATTTACAAGGCAGGAGATCCATTCCCTAGCTCAGAGCAAGCAACAAACACCCTTGTGGCACAAGTGTGTGCCAGCACAGCCTGTGAGATGGTATGTGCATCAAAGGGGGTGACACGTGTCAGCATGTTATTTGAGTACCCAAGGGCATAGCGGAACTTAAGGAGATTCCAAGGCTGAATATTCTTTTCGCACCCCGAGGCAGGTGTCTGTGACTGATGGGTTGTTATGGCCAATGCAAGTTCATCACAAGCACTCTTT